AAAGGAGCCTTGCATGATTTTGGTCACCATTACTTTCAAAAGGTCAAATAAGCTCACTGACCTTAAATGAGCAAGCAACATTTTGCTTATAACAGCTACCTAGGTTCAAGAGGCACTTTTGAGACCAATCTAGGGTTTGATCTTGTTTGATCTTATTTGACCCAATGGTCATGCCCTAGGAGCCTCAAACTTTGATCCAAGTAGTTTCACATACAGGCAAACACACCCTGTGAGTTTGGTGTCCTCTAGCTCTCTTAGTTCCTGAGATCTCAGGGGGTCAAATTGACCTCCCACCCGACCGAAGGATATCCAACCGGCCACCCGAGCGCGTGTTAATATCAGCGAGCTCTCGACTGAGCTATTTACTCAATAGATGGCAGCACCACTAACATCGCTGAACATAGAAGTGGCCGAAGTGAATTGTTCCGGCATGGTTGTTTATATTTTAATGGTGATTTTAGAGGTCTTGACACATGCTCAGCAAGCATTTCACAGTCGCTAAGCAATTTGCAACTATCGATACACCTCACCGCGCACAATGCGGCAGCGGATGTGTTCGAATCGTTTTGCGTACGCTTCGGATCATGCCTGCTGTTTGCAGGAAATACACAGCACATCGATGCTCCAACAACAACAATATAAAAACGACAAAATGGCTCGTGAGGGCCCTTAGACTTCGAGGTCGAGTAGTGACAGCCGCCGTGTTTGATGCATGTACCGCACGCGACCGGCACTCGTAGCTGCAAGCTTCCACATGCTCAATGTGGCAAATGTGACGGGAACTGTGCACGAGCCTTTCCCTTTCTTGATTTATTGCGAATCCGAGTGGTTCGTGAGGGTCTCTTCGGCTAAGAATTCATGCCATAAATACATGGTGTTTACATCCGTAGCCCTTCACAGAGTGACTACAGGGCTGATCCAGTGGAAGCTGAAGAAAGACCCGACTGATGATGAAGAACTCCAAAAATTCGTGCCCCAACTATTCATTTAATCTTTGCTCGATCTACTGGCCTGCAATTTTTTACCGGGAAGCAGTTCACTTATGTAAGACTTTAAAGCTCCTTGGTCACAATAAAACGCTTGTATTTGAAGTTAAACAAAGGGTTGACGTACCAAGCGGATAAGCCCGCATTTACGCATATTATGGTTTCACTCGTCATATCTTGCTTCAGTTTAGATGTTTGCAATACATTTATGACAGTCATCCTAATATAGTCGTGAGGGTGGTTCTGGTTCATAGTGGTGAGGACATCGTGCCATGAACAGTAATTAAGTGGAATAGTAAAACGAAGCATTTTAATATAGGGGTACAGGGCAAGCGGCGGTGATGTCCAGCCGGCAAAATGTTTCGTGCAGAGTATGTTGTAACTTTTAAAAAGGAATTATTTCATTACGTGACGTGCGATGGTTTGAGTGTGCAATGAATGATACAAAGGGGAGATCCTGGTGATGTAAGTTGCTACGTCAAGGTCTAAGAAACAGTTGATAATAAGCGATCATGTGCGAGCCATTTCAGGCAATTATATCGGTCTTTTCTATGGACTGTGTCGCAGGGAGCCCTAAGCAGCCCTTAGCTCCCTCCAAATGTATGAAACTCGTCTATCACAACCAGTTTGTCAACGGCCGCGTCCGCTGCCTATTGCATGATCTGTCCGCTACGAAGACATGCTACCACGCTGCCGGAAAATCAGACACATACACTGTAGGAACGTGCAACACGCTGTGAGGTACGAGCTTCTTTGCGGCAAAAGCGTCAAAACCATGCCGATATCAATGAAAGCTGTCGTGACTGCTGCCAAGCCTGTCGTACCACTGCCACCAGACTCTTTCGCTTATGGCTTCTTTATCACTTTCATCTTTACGTGGGCTGCCGGATGCTTCGTTGGATTATTTACCGAAGAAAGCTTGTGTGGGTTAGACATAAGCGTGGACTGGATGCGAAGCACCATCCAAGCTCGTGTCCCTGGCACTTGCAACATAATGGCAAGCACTAAACCCCCATCAGTTAACATTCCCGTACTGATGGGAGGATGCTTTTGTGGTGCTGCCAGAGTCAGGACATGCACGTAAATGCTGAAGGCTTTAAGCGGCTCTTAACCTACAGTGCAGCAGAAAATGACGTAAGCAGGGTGCAGAGCTCGTCAGCTACGTATATATGTTTGTATGTAAGTATGAAGGTATTTGGGGCCAACTTTGAATCCAATTAACTGTGCGTGGCGCGATGCGATAATGCACGAAGTGTACAACTATGAGAAGTTGTCAAACGTTCAACCGTTGTCAAAATGTTAATGAAGCACGCATGCTGTCGTTGCGTTGTGTTGTTATCAAAGTGGTCATGCAACTGTGATCAAAGTGGCAATAAATCGTTATAAAAAGGACACCAACACAGTAAACCACTCCAACGCTGGCATCGGCTGGGTGGTTGGATGGAATAGTGGGGGAGTTTATGGCCCAGTGGACATAGTGTGCATACGATGTCTACATGTTACGTGCTACGCGTGATGCCGCGCACCGCCTGAAAAAAAAACATGTCATACAAATACAAAACGGGAGCCTCGCATGGCGAGCAGCTCTCGCGCCCAGCATTCGAAGAACCTTTAGTGTCGGCTCTTTCCGTGCGCGAACATCCAGCACACACACAGCACAGATGCCAGGGACAGACATCCAGCACTTCTGCAGATGTCTGGGTATATTATTAAACAAGCATAATCCTCTTCTTCGAAAGATACTTTCAGAAACTTATGTCCTCTTTAAAGCCGATCGGGCTTCTGCTAACGTTTTCTACACATATGGCGCTGCAGGGACAGAATGGACCTGCTACATCCTCCGTCTGCACCAGCTCCTCCCGGTTTGCTTATCGTCAGCCAGCATCAACGTCGCCGTGTCCGGACATTGTCAGGAGCATAACCACAGTGTTAGCGTTAGCAATGTCCAGTTTGCTTTGGTGTTATCTGATGTGTATTTGCTAACAACTTTTCCAAATTCATGGCGATGCTTGAACTCTAGTCGACATGATAAAGAGGTTAAGATGAAAACACATGTGACCAGAAACCTAGGCAAACAAAGTACACTTGGCGTGGCGGAGCGACCAAAGTTCCGTCATTTTGGCACGAGAAAGTGACACTAGGTCAGGTCAAGATCTCGTATGAGTTATTCTGTATAGGTTCGCAGTGGACTACCTCTAATCTCAGGAGGCAACGAATTAAATGTAGCAACGGAACTATACGTGCACTGCCGTCTGCCGTCCCTGAGTGGATTCAAGATAGACTGCGCCTTACGTCATGTTGCAAGTTGCGTTTTCTCTGCAGGCTTTTAGCTGTACATTGTTCGGCTGTGACCCTGCGCTCTCTGTTTTCCAAAATCCGTCTCTTCTGAGGAGGCCAATAGAGTCCTCTCCTCTTTGGGTCCCTGGGTGCGCTTCTACCATTTGTGTGTGTGTGTGTGTGTGTGTGTGTGTGTGTGTGTGTTTGTATATATATATATATATATATATATATATATATATATATATATATGTGTGTGTGTGTGTGTGTGTGTGTGTGTGAGTGTGTGTGTGTGTGTGTGTGTGCGTGTGTGTGTGTATGTAGAGCAGTGTTTGATATGTGTAGTACTACTACTTACATTCATGACCCTTATTATACCACATAAATATAATATATGATAAATGTAAATAAGAAGACGAATTAAAATGGAATCATGACTCATACCCTCTGGTCTTGCACGCAGACAAGCCATGTAAAGAGTGAAATGTGGAGCTGCCTCTGCGTTAGCACTTGAGAAAAATCCTGGCCATACTTAAACACCAAGTCTACGTCCCAAAATCTCAGCAATTTCGTAGCTGTAGATCGAAATGTGCTAAAACATTGTTTCAACATTATCAGCCAATGTTCGTTTGGGAAGTTCCAGCCTTCAATCCGCAGCGATTAGTGAAAAATTGAATATATTCTAACACGCGCGTTCGCAATAGTTCGAAACAAAACTCCCGCTCCCGACGTTGCAGTCTCGTAAGACGCACGGCGTCGGCCCCGCGGCTAGCACTCTGCAGCGGCCCAAGAGTGGACAAAAATGATGACGTATCCGACAAAAAAACTTTTGACGCTTCGGGCTATCAATTCGCAGGTTGAGAAGAGAATCCTGCCGGATATTTCACTCGTGCGTTTTTTAGATTGAAGAAAAGAACACATTAGCATTTACAACAGTAAAGTTTTTTAAAGGTTGGCCCCTGTTATCTGACCTAGGTCCTTGGTCCTGGCAGATCAAAACTTCAGATTTGCACAAAGAATGCCAACTTAATAAGTGAACAGGTACTGAAAATTTCGTACCGCTGCGCTCGTTCGTTTTTGACTCGTGACCGAAAGAGTTTTCCTTGCCGGCCGGGCGCGGGCTCAGAAATGTATTTCACTAGTTGATTTTGTCACTCACATTGCCACCCCATTTATGCATCCATTCAAATAATGAGCGTCTGCTATTGCATGTTCCAACTATCGTCACCATCTGGAAACATTTCTACCAATGGCTGTCCTCCCCTCGCTCATCGGTACATCCTGCTGGTCGCAGCGTCCCCGCCTCCCCGAGGTACATTATTGTGGTCGGCTCTGTCCGATCTTCTTGATCCCGATCCTGGGTGCGCCATTGCGGTGCATGGCCGCACTGCAGCCGTCGGGACGCGCCCCTGTACCTTAGAACGGCGCCGCCCCTGCGCCGGGTCCGGGCCAGCCGCTCCAGTCTGGTCCGCGCCAACCCGGTACAGCGGTCACACGACCAACCCGCACGCATTCTCTCTCGTGCAGCTGGTGCCAGTCCCCGAGCATCAGCGTCTCGGAGCCTGGCCGCTTCTCTGAACTGGCGCTTTTGTTGCGGTCGCGTTGGCGGCATAGGCCGTGCATTTTTAGAAAGTTTGCAGGCCGAGGCGTCGCTGCCCGCGCATGCAGCCGCCGCCCGCTAGCGACATCTGCCGGATAACCTTGTAAACGCGGTCCGTTGACGTCACCGAGTGAACGGAGGATCGTGGCTGGAGTCCGTGATACTGCGCGCATGGGAAGGTGCACTCTGAGTGATCTCGTGCGAAAGTGGAAAAATCCGGTGCATAGCGAATGATGGGCTGATCTGGAGTACCCGCCATGGATATAGACTTCCTCTCTGACGATTCCGCCCTGCAAGCGATCTTAGGTAAGCGATACTTTTGTCTTTGTGTGGACCTGCTTCCGCGGTTGCTTTCTGTCCTGAGGCGCAAGCAAACGGCTTCGCGGGCTTCTGATGAAGGAAACGCCGTCAGTCCATGGACGAGAGCGACGTCACGCTGTCTGTGCGTTTTCGGTGTGGCGCTGGATCACCCCTTCGATGTCAAATCCGGGTGCGTCCATGGTCCAGTTCTGGGGATTTCCGAGATCGGTGCTCGTTCCTGGTTCAGCAACAGTGGCGGAGTCAGCGGCGGGGACGAGAGCCATTCAGCGGACCTGCCGGGTAGCGGTGACAGTGCCGCCTACTTTCGACGTCTGAGGGAATCTCCGATGACACGGTTGACGTGGTGTCACGCATGGAAAAGGCTCGATGGTCCTCAGCGAGAGGAACAAACTCGATGACGCGCGACTACCGTCACCGAGCCTGTGCCTCTGTCCCGGCGGGCAGTGCCGAACTGATCCACTCGCCGCTCCTTGCGATCGATGGGGTGGCACATGGCTTGGATGCGGCTTCCGGTTAAGCGCATGGCAATCCGTGCAAATGACACGAGCTGCGACATGACGTAACCGAGCGCTGGCATCTGACCACCAGCGCGCTCGGTCGGCACTGGTTGCCGATCTGTGACGGGCGTGTCGCCTCTGGCGCCGTGTCTCGTCGCTGGTGCGGCTTGCCGACTCCGGCAGCAGGTGAACGCGTGACGAGCCGGCGCCGGCTGCCCGTCGTCCAGCTATCCGCGCGGCGCGTTTCCCACGCCCGTGCGGGAGCGTGTTCAAGGCTGCGCCGGCGGCAGTGCGTCGTGACAGGAGCGTCCGGCAGTCACGCCGATGGTATGTCACGGCTCTAACCCGTCACGGCGGCGATATGTCATGACGGTGGTCACGGAAGGATGGTCAGGCACGATGGCGATCAGTGGCGAGGTCCTACGACGGTGATCATCATGGGGGTGGGGGCTGCAGACGATCAGAAACTGTCGTGATAGTAAGCAGCTACGCTGATGACCAGGGACGCGCAGCCATGGTGGTGATCAGAAGCCAAGGACCTGGGCGGCCTTGCTCCCCATACTTTTCAAGAATTCTTATCGACTGCGTGGAAAGAATCGACTTCGGCCGTAGCCCTAGCGAGCGAGTGGCGCCGCTTCCAGCGCCGGCTCCAGAGTGCCGCCGGCACGTGTTCTGCGGTCGCCGCCGCGCTGCGATGGCGGGTGCCAATCTCCGCGTGATGCACTACTAGCCACATCCGTCCGCGGTCGCGGTCGCTGATGGGTGACACATGCTGTCGTCCCGTCCCTACGCTGGGCTGTCGGCCGCCGTACGCGACGGAGGATGGTCCGGCGGCCATCCGTCAGACGCGGACGAGAGCACAGGCCACCGGCTCCCGCAGCTTGCATTCCTGGTAGTTTCGTGCTGATCTTCATGCGTTTGGCATACATGTCGCACCGTCGTGTGTGGGGTCTTGCGAGGATCAGGCGCGCGTAAAAGCAGCTTTTGTGTTAGATACATGCAAGGTAGAGGTGCACATTCTCCGGCTCATCAGCATCATGCTTCGTTTTGTCAGTTGTCTATTTACGCTGTTACGACGGAGGCCGCAGGTCTGGTCAGTCTTGACGTCAACTATCTGGGATTGTTTGTGGCGTCAGCGGCCTGGCCCGGCCTGGCCAGTAACAATTTTGACGAGCTTACATCTCTGAAGCCTCTGATCGTACCGCGGCCAAAGTTTCAGCGGCAAGGAGCGCGACTCTTTGAAAGCTTTTGTGTAGTAATTTCAAGGCTTTCAGATGCGATGTGTTCGACCATGCGGCTTATTTTTGCAATTTGACCATATGAATAGAAGCTCAGGCCCCCACTTATTAAACAGCTAATAAATTGTTGTTTTTTTGCCCGCGAAAAGGCTGGGGAACAAAGGACGGACCTAATCATGACGGAGGAAAAGTGGTCAATCGAACTGGCGCTAAGCCCAGGTCGATGTGTGCAGGTTATCACGTGCTATCTTGCACGAAACACAGCTGTGCCCGTTTTGGGGCGTTTTTGATAAGTGATGTCAGAGCTCATCAGTCAGAGCAGGTGGAAGCACGACACCAACCGCATGACGTAGGCAAATGTGCCGGAAAAACGGATTAGAATACTCGAGTTTTTCGACCCTGCCGGTGCGGCAGAGATCACCCGCAATGCAGCCGATGCCGCTTCTCCGAAGCTGATAGCTCGACTGCTGTGAATACCAGTCTCGCCGTGGTCTAGACCGAGAGATTTTGCCATGAAAGCTACGCCGGCGTGTGTCCTGTTCATTGTGACCAACGCCCACCCTAAATATGTGTGAAGTGCCGAGTGCTGGGATTGAAAGTGCCAATACTGTTCCTCAATGCCAACTCGTCGATTTCGTCGATTGAAAATGCTAGCAGGCGTTGTCCTTGAGTTTGGACGCGCAAATTATGTGTCAGGGCTTTTCGGCTTGCTAAACGGGTAACAAGTTAACAGTACGGTGGAAGCTGATATCTAAAGTGGTACCAAGTAGCTGTGAGTATTCCATTGAATTTATGCATACCATTTGTTTGTGTTTGCAAGGACGGCCGGGTGCATTCACTTGTATGTTTGTGTTGTGCGCCTGGTGAAAACATTCTCGTCTGCTACCAACTCGCTCGTCCCTCGTCATAGCAGGCGTGATATGGTAGCAATATTTCAGGTGAAGTTCAATTGGTTTGTCCACTCTGGGAAGCATAAAATAAGCGAGCTTTCTGGGTCGGTCCAGTTCATTTTATAGCATGCATCCACACTGAAGATGCTTAATTTTTGTGCGATGGTATCAGCAGCCGGCGATGAATGATGGCTCTGGGATGGCTTGCAGACGACAGCGCTGGCACTTTGCTGGCATTCTAAAATGTCAGCATACATGAGACGCGTTGAAAGCGGGTGGCAGTGCCAGCACCAAGCAAGGTCATCGGGTCCTGCACGCTCCTGTAACATATCAGGCTGATGCGGGACCCAGGGCGGGTAGTGATACCAGGTTTTATGCTGCTATCATGCCTGATGTGCTCGTTTTCGCCCTTTTTTATTTGTCCCGTTCACTATCCTTTCACTGATCGCTGGTGCTACCCGTGATTTCTGAACAGCATTACGAGTTGAACGTCCCATATATTTGGAAGGCTGGATCCCTTCGTGTATGCGAGCTTATTGTGAAGCCCATGGGATTTGCGTATAAAGTAATGACCTTAAATCTCATCGCGCGTGCACCAATAGGGTGAAAGTTCCGCACCTGCACACTTGTATTGCAGTATTGTTGTGTAAGCTATCCCTTCCAGCGATGCGAAATTAAATACTGACACATAGTTTATTGCATGGACACGAACACCGTTATTGGGGGGGGTCCCAAGCGAGGGATTATTTTGTCTCATTCTATCATGCCAACCGGTAGGTGATGAAAGTGATGACTGTTTTCAGCATATCCTGCAAGGTCGTGGTACGGCCAAGGGATGGTAAAATTTCCCTTCCTTTACGGGAAACATGACACAGCAGATGAGGCTCCAAAGCCATTCGCCGCAAAGCAATTGTGCGAATTCATGTCTTAAACCGATTATCTTTGCCAACAAGACAGGAGCTGTGGCCAGAACACCGCCGGAACGCACGAAAAAACCGCATGGGTGTTGACTTTTGTAAGCTTATGAAATGTAAGTTTTGACTGTAGATTATTTTGCTTTTAAACTTATTTATTTTTCAATTGTTTTAGATCCTCGAGGTACCATAGGTAATGACTCGCCACTTCTCCATTCCTGACCACTCTGTGCTCTGTACAGTGGACAGGTGTTTTCCATTAGCCAGCTGTCCGTAAGCATGATTTAAGCACCATTGTTTCCCGCCGCTCGATTTCGTTCATCCACGAGCGTACCTCACTTGCCTGTTTTCGGGCGGCATGCGAGCATCACCCCGTTTACCACTATGCCCTGCCGCCTATCTCGCGCGGCCACGTGGTAAGCCCACGCTACCGGAAAATGGCCGCCCCAGACCCCCCCCCCGCGCTTAGCAGCCGGGTGTGCGTGACGGCTAAGCACAGCCTCCGCTCGCTTTTGCCCATGTGTGGAGGGGCTGTCATCCTTCCCGAGGCGGCTGGGCTGGCCAAGGTAACCGGTCGAAGAGGACAGAGGTCGTCAGTGGCGTTGCATCACAAGCTGCCATACCCGCTAACCACGGCGAGGATGAGCTGTCATGCCCGCTGGCCGCTGCGAGGATGAGCATTGGATGCCCGTCGGCAGTCGCGGGTGTCCTCTTAGTTGTGGACATGTATTAGCTCCCCAAAGAAGACACAGTGTTTCTGTTTTGTGTTTCTCTAGGACATGTGTTCTTTCGGATTTTTAAGTCGCTCTTTGCATGGCACTTGCGTGATATAGCAGCAAAACGTGGGTGTGAACCAATCGTATGTTCGGAATAACGGGCTTAGGCTAAGTAAGGCAGTTCTCCCACTCTTTCCCTGGATGACCCGAAGGTTTCAGTTTCAAAGAGCAGCTCATAGTCTCTTTGAAAAAGAACAACAGCATCTTGCCACTTTTACGCGTTTTTTCTAGTTTGCGCCGGGACGCTGTGGCCTAAATTATTGCCAGTAGTGCTAATGCAGCTGCCATTGACCTCAAGTGGGGTTTGTGCTAAAGGAAAACCCTGTCTCAATTTTGACACATTAATACCGCATAGGTCGGGACCTGTGTATTTTATACGTATTTAACTAAAAACACTTCTTCGTTGGACCTAATTATTTCGAGCAGGAATTGAAAATAATGGACCAGGTGTTCAGTATAACGGCACCCCCGGACCGACCTTGCACCTCTGGAGAGCTTCCAAGTAGGCACCGCATGCGGTCACTGTCAGCCTGCGGTTTCCATCCTCCTTGAAGCTTTTCTAGCATTAAGGTGTTCCTGACATTACGATGGTAGGAATGCACGTGTGTGCTTTATACATGTTAGCTTTACGGTACTGAAACATTTGAATGCTAGCAAACAATAAAAACCT